CGACATTTCGAGCCCGTCGCCCCAAGATAACCCTCGAGACCGCCAGCAGGCCCGCAAGAGACACCCCACAAGCTCCATGAGGCCCCCAAGAGGCCCAAATCAGGGCCCAAGAGGCACCTCGAAACAGAATCCAAGAGGCCTCCGAGAGGCCTCCCAATAGTGTAAATCCCACAGGCATCCCCAAGGCCTACGACATACAACCCTGGCGCAGTGGCGGGATGGGTCGAAGGCCCAGCTAGAACCATCGTGCGCGCTTCGCGCGCGCTCAAGTTCTAGCTAGGCCTGATGGGCTCTAATGGAACATCATGTTGGACGTTTCTTGCATCCAAGGACTCTTGGAGGCCCTGCGCAAGCCTCGGAATCTTGTAGAAGGGGAACTGCGGAAGCGCAGAAATCAGTGAGTCCCGTTCGGCATTCAACGATTTGGGGCCCTCAAAGGCTTCCTGGGTTCTTTTCTGGGAGCCGAGGTGTGCCTTAATTGTAATATGTTGTGCAAGAGTAGACAGGGGGGGCGAACTTAAAATGACTCTGTCGAAGGACCTAGCCATACGCAAATATGAGAAACGCAGGGCAGGTGGGACGAAGCAAAAGGCATTCCCAATTGGGCCACGAACCGTGTGCGGGGTGCGCCACACTGGGGCGGGGCTTCCATGCGATCCCCGCCACTGGGGCCTTTTGGTGGAGCTCCCTATAAAGCCACGTGCCGTGTGAGGGGTGCGCCAAAATAGCGCGGGGCCGCCATGCGAACCCTGCCACTGGGGCCTTCGGTGGAGCTCCCTATGGGGCCACATACCGTGTGAAGGGTGCGCCCCCCAAAAAATTGCGCGGGGACGCCATGCGAACCCTGCCACTGGGGCTGTAGGTGCGAACCGTTGGAGGGGTGCGCCAAATTGGGGCGGGGCCGCCATGCAAACCCTGCCACCGGGGCCTTCGGTGGAACCCTGAATGGGGCCACGAACCCTGTGAGGGGTGCGCCAAAATGGGGCGGGCCGCCATGCGAACCCTGCCACCGGGGCCTTCGGTGGAGCTCCCTATGGGGCCACGACCCGTGTGAGGGTGCGCCAAAACGCGAAGCCGCCATGCGAACCCTGCCATTGGGTCACAAAGTGGAACTCCTTATGGGGCCACGAACCGTTTGAAGGGTGCGCCAAAATGGCGGCAGGCCGCCATGCGAACCATGCCGCTGGGGCCTTCGGTGGAGCTCCCAAGAAAGCCACGAACCATGTGAGGGGTGCGCCAAAATGGCGCCAGGCCGCCATGCGAACCATGCTGGTGGGGCCTTCGGTGGAGCTCCCTATAAAGCCACGAACCATGTGAGGGGTGCGCCAAAATGGCGCCAGGCCGCCATGCGAACCCTGCCACTGGGGCCTTCGGTAGAGCTCCCTATGGGGCCTCGTACCGTGTGAAGGTTGCGCCCCCCCCCAAAAAATTGCGCGGGGACGCCACGCGAACCCTGCCAATGGGGCTGTAGGTGCGAACCGTTGGAGGGGTGCGCCAAAGTGGGGCGGGGCCGCCATGCAAACCCTGCCACCGGGGCCTTCGGTGGAACCCTGAATGGGGCCACGAACCCTGTGAGGGGTGCGCCAAAATGGGGCGGGCCGCCATGCGAACCCTGCCACCGGGGCCTTCGGTGGAGCTCCCTATGGGGCCACGACCCGTGTGAGGGTGCGCCAAAACGCGAAGCCGCCATGCGAACCCTGCCATTGGGTCATAAAGTGGAACTCCTTATGGGGCCACGAACCGTTTGAAGGGTGCGCCAAAATGGCGCCAGGCCGCCATGCGAACCATGCCGCTGGGGCCTTCGGTGGAGCTCCCAAGAAAGCCACGAACCATGTGAGGGGTGCGCCAAAATGGCGCCAAGCCGCCATGCGAACCCTGCCACTGGGGCCTTCGGTGAAGCTCCCTATGGGGCCACGAACCGTGTGAGAGGTGCGCCAAAATGCGGAGCCCCCCATGCAAACCCTGTCACTGGGGCCTTCGGTGGAGCTCCCTATGGGACCACGAACCGTGTGAGGGGTGCGCCAAAATGGCCCCAGGCCGCCATGCGAACCCTGCCACTGGGGCCTTCGGTGGAGCTCCCTGGGGCCACGAAACATTGTACTGGGTGGGTGAAACGCAAAAGAGACAGGAGGAGGGGGAGGAGGGAGGACGAGGAGGAGGAGGAGGCGGAGGAGGAGGAGGAGGAGGACGAGGAGGAGTTTTAAACCCGCGTGCTCACGCCCGTGAGTGGGCGACCCTGGTCTCGGCACCCCGCGCAGGGAAACGCGCCCGAGGCGGGGTGGGCCAGCGGCCTCATCTCACGGCGTCCTGCTGCCGCCACACGTAGACTCCTGGAGTCGCCCCGCGAGCGGCGGCAGTCTGAAGAAATGCTGCCGCCGCCCTCTCAGAGCTTGAGGAGCAGCCTGATGGACGGCCGCAGCCGCTCCTCCGCCCTGCGCTCTTCCAGGGACCGCACAGGCCGCTGGTCCCTGGACTCGTTGGCCTTCACGGCCTCCGTGCCTGGCGCAAGGCTGTGGCCTAACCCCTCGCCACGCTGGGGTGCATTGCGGCCTAGCCCCTCGCCGCGCAGGGGTCCTCCGTGGCCTAACCCCTCGCCACGCTGGGGCCTGCTGCGGTCTGGCCCCTCACAGCGCTGGGGTGCTCCGTGGTGGCCTAACTCCTCGCCGCGCGGTGGTCTGCTGCGGTCTAACCCCTCACCGCGCTGGGGTCCGTCGTGTCCTGACTCCTCGCCACACTGGGGGTCAGTGCGGTCTAACGCCTCACCGCGCTGACGGAAAATCGCGGCCAAACCCCATCGCCACGCTGGGGGCTGCTGCGGTCTAACCCCTCACCGCGCTGGGGTGCTTCGTGGCCTAACCCCTCGCCGCGCAGGGGCCTGTCGCGGTCTAACCCCTCACCGCGCTGGGGTCCTCTGTGGCCTAACCCCTCGCCACGCAGGGGCCTGCTGCGGGCTAACCCCTCACCACTATGGGGTCCGCTGTGGCCTAAACCCTCGCCGCGCTGGGGATCGTCGCGGTCTACCCCCTCGCCGCGCTGGGGCGCCCCGTGGCCTGACCCCTCGCCACGCTGGGGCCTGCTGCGGTCTAACCCCTCACCGCGCTGGGGTCCTCTGTGGCCTAGCCCCTCGCCTCGCGGGGGTCCCCTGCGGTCTGCCTCCTCGCCGTGCTGGGGTCCTTCGTGGCCAGAGCCCTCACCGTGCTGGGGTCTGCTGCTGTCTAACCCCTCACCGCGCTGGGGTCCTCCGTGGCCTAACCCCTCGCCGCGCTGGGTTCCTCTGCGGTCTGCCGGGTGGTACCCTGTGCTGTGCTGTACCTCTGGGATCTGCTGGTGGCTGTAATCGCTGTCCTGCTTGTCCGCGGGCTGCTGGAGGCAATCCTCGGTGTTCTCCTCGTCTAGGAAGTGGTCGAGGTCTGCCATGTCCTCGGTGCTCCGTCCTGCTGGTGGGGGACGGGCGCCCCTCTGCATCCCGTCTGGCGCAGGGCTGTGGCCTAACCCCTCGCCGCGCTGGGGCCCTCTGCCGCCTACCCCCTCGCCGCGCAGGGGCCCATGGTGGCCTGCCCCCTCTCCGCGCAGGGGCCTGATGCGGTCTAACCCTTCACCGCGCTGGGGCCCACAGTGACCTGACCCCTCGCCTCGCTGGGGGGTCGGTGCGGTTTTGCCCCTCACCGCGCTGGGGCCCTCCGTGGCCTGACCTCTCGCCACGCTGGGGGCCTCTGCAACCTGCCATGTGGCTCCCGATGCTGTTCTGGTGATCTGGGGTCTGCAGGTGGTTGTCATCGCAGTCCTGCTTGTCAGCGGGCCGTTGGGAGCTGTCCTCGCTGTTCTCCTCGTCCTGGGAGAGGTCATGGTGAAACATGCCCGTGGTGCTCCTTCCTGCCGGTGGAGGGCGGGCACCCCTCTGCATCCAGTCTGGCGCAGGGCTGCGGCTTAGTCCCTCGCCACGCTGGGGTCCTCTGCGGCCTACCCCCTCGCCGCGCAGGGGTTCTTCGTGGCCCAACCCCTCGCCACGCAAGGGCCTTCTGCGGTCTAGCCCCTCGCCGCGCTGGGGTCCGCTGTGGCCTAACCCCTCGCCGCGCTTGGGTTCTGTGCAAACTGCCCCCTGGCCGTGTTTGGAACCTCCATGGTCTCGCCCCACGCCTCGCTGGGGGCCATTGCGGTCTAACCCCTCACCGCGCTGGGGTGCTGGGCCTCCTTTTTGTTCTGCTGCTGGCGTGACCGCCCCGAGGAGCTGTTCTGCCATGGTCCTGCGTCGTGCCGCCTCGCGAGGGCCCTGCTGCTGGGCCCCCCTGCGCTCCACCCCACTGTTGAGCCAGGCCATGCGGCAGATGTCCTCTGCCGCCCTGCGCTGGCTGTTTTGTCTGCTTGGCCCTGGGCTGTCACCGAAGAGCCGCTGGCATGGACTTGTCTGGAGCTCCCTCAGCACATGGGATACGCACGCCGCACCCCACGTTTGCCAGCCTATCTCTCCTGCTTGCTGGGCCCAGCCTCCTGCCAGCGTCTGCGTGAGCAGCTCCAGGCGGTTCCTCTCAAGCCAGGCCTGCTCGCGCTCAGGGTCTTCTTCGTCTCCTCGTTGCTGGCCGAGTCGCGGGTGCTGCAGGCCTGCCTCCTTGGCCCCCCTCACGTACTTCATCAGGTTGGGCCCTGTCGGCTTGGCAACCCATGGCGCCCCCTGCATGGTCGTGCTGGCCTCGACGCTGGTTGCATGTAGCTTCGTTGTGCTGTTCTAGCGCCTCGACGGTGTCCATGCCATGGTCGCTGTCATGGCCTTCCAGCTCTGGTACCTCGCTGCCTGGTTGCGTTGAGTTGTCGTCCAATTGCTCTGGGGTCCACGCACTGTAGCCATCCGCCGTGCTGGGTAGTGGCCTGCGCTCACTGCTGGGGATGCTGTGGGTGATGATGATCGACCGCCTGCCCTGGAAGGCTTCCATGTGTGCCCTTGCCGCCTGCTGTCTGGTGCCGTGCGGCAGGGTGGGCATGTGTGTCACGAGCCTCCTTCTCGCCTGGTGGGTGCCCTTCAAGATATCCTCGCAGAATTCACTGATCTGCTGGAACTCCCTTGGCGTGGCTGCCTTCTTCTGGTCTTGGACGTCCATCCTACTTCTTGTGGTGGCGGCTTGCAAGTACGGGACACTGTGCTCAATCCAGTCGCCCTTGTCCTCCCACACATCCTGGTCCACCATGTTCATCCACTGCCCCGCGTAGCCCTCCATGTGGTCCACAAGCTGCCAGCTCGCCTGGGCTGCTGGGTGGGGATGCCTTGGCGTTGGTGGCTGAGCTTGCTGCGGTGTCTCTGCTTCCGAGCTTCCTCCGCCCAGGTCGATCACCTCTGCGCTGCTCACCCTTGGGTTGAATCCCGCAGCCTTGACCTCCTCCGGTGGCGCGGCTGTCGCTTGGTCCTCGTCATGCTTTGCTCTTCGCGGCAGCCTCCCCTTCTGCAGGTCCATGATGACTCTGCGCCCCGCTGTGGTGGGCGGGACACACGGCTTGGCCAGCTTGCGAGCAACGCCTGCAACGATTCGGCTCGCGTGGTTCCCAAGGTAACTTGTGGCCCCACACTTCTCGCACCAGGGCCAGCCCTGCGTGAGCTGCGTCTTGTGGGTGTCGTGGACGACCCGCGTGCCGATCTGCACTGTCTTGAAATCGAGCCTCACGTTCCCGTGCTGGTCCAGGTGGCTGCTTTCTCTTCCATGGCACTCTCCCGTCTCTGCTAGCCAGGCTCGTACACTTTGCCCTTTGGTGGGGCCTTTTCTGCATGTCGCACACCACCATCTCGGATGTAGTTTGCGCGGGTCATGGTCGAGCTGTGCTGCCTTCTCCCTTGCATTATGTGGCCTTTTGCGCTTGGACTTGAATCGCCGAGCCACCTCATTGGGATCCTCAACCATCACCGCCATGCTGATGCCCAGCAGCCTGTTCTGGACTGACACCGTGATCTGGTCCCTGAATTGCTGCTGCGCCATTATGGCTGGGCCCAGCGCTCCGTGCTCCGCTCCCCAGCCTGCGTGCTTGTCTGCCATCTCGTTGCCTATGACCCACCACGTTGGCCCTGTCCACCTTTCCAGCTCCGTCGGGTGCTCGATCAAGTGGCTGGGGATGTGGTGGCCCATGATATGGTCGGTGCTGTTCTGGAGCTGCCGCTTGGCCATGAGCCAGAGGTCGAAATTGGTGCTACTGTAATCGAGGCCCTCTGGGTCTTGGATCTGCTTGAGGGCGCCCAGGGCGCGCTTCCAAGCGCTGGCGATTTTGACCCCTCGTGCTGAGGCCGCCATCGTGTAGCCGATCGCCTTGCTCATGGCCGTGAGCTCCGCCCTTGGCACCGTGCGCGGCGCCCTTATCGTGCCGTACCAAGCTGCCACCTCCTGGGGCAGGCCGCCCTGGTCGTACCTGAAGGCCACCACCGCCCAGCCGCATCTCCGTAGCCTGGGGGCCTTGGCTGTCTGACCAGCCCCCGCTGAGCCGTCCGTGAACACGTAATCGGACTGGACTTTGTGGCCCTCCTGCACTGCTGCTTGAGCCGCCGCGCTGGTGCAGAAGATGTGTGCCGCCTTTTCGACATCTTCATCTGGGTCAACTTTTACTGCCCATGCTGCTGGTGGGACCCCTCTGAGCCAGAAGTGCTCGTCCTGCTGCTGGTCGAGCGCGTCCTTGGCCTTCTTGACTAGCTCTGTGTCGTTGCTGTAGCCGGTCTCCTCGTTTGCGGGGCAGGCGTAGTAGCGGTGCTTCTCCGTCTCGCTGGCCACTCCGCACCTAGCGCAGGTGTCTTCCCCTTCCTGGTTGATGTTCGCTGCTCTGCGCCGCTCCCGCGCCCAAATGTCTGCCACTGCGATGGTCTCCAGCATGGCCGCCTCAGCGTGTTGCCCTTTGCGTCGCCTGCTCCTCAGGTGTCTTTGCAGCTGGTAGAGGTCGCCCCCTTCCTTCAGTCCTGCGCCGTGCCGATGCTCTGCCGCTTACTGCCAGAGCTGTTGCTGAGCGCTCAACTGGACCTCCTGGAGGAGCGCTCCGAAGTGTGGGATGTCTTCTGGTCGGTAGGCCCACTCATCTCCTGCTGGACTGGTCCAGCTATCCAGCCGCCTTGGGTTCCATCCCAGCCCCAGCAGCTGCACGCTGACTCCTGCCATGGGGCCCTTTACCTGGTTCCACCTCCTGCTGGGCTCCAGGGCCTACAGCTTGTCATACAGCATGTGCCAGCCTCTCTGGTACCTCTTGAGCTCCGACGGGTGGTCCACGATGGTGAGCCAGAACTGCTTGACTTGATTCACGATGGCCCTGGTGACCGCCTCCTGCGCGCCCCTCTGGATCAGGAGTATGGTGGCTGTGCATCTGCCTGCTTTGTGCCCTCCTGTGAGCAGCGCTGCTTCTGTGGCCCTGACCTTGATCGCCTCCGTGGGGGTGATGCCGTGCGCTGGCAAGTCCCAGGCTTGTTGGCAGTAGGCCCCCGCTGCGTATACCTTGGCTGCCCCTCTGGCGTCCGTCTTAGCTAGGTCCTTGAGCTTTCCAATACGCTGCTTTGCTTTCGCCTGCCTGGCTGCATGGGTGGGCCGCTTCAGCTGCTTGCCCAGCCCCGTATCCACGCCCAGGTCTCGGACCACTCCTGGCTGCTTATTCGGGGTGCCCAGGCCATCCAGGATGTTGGCGATCTCCTGCTGAAGGTCTTTGTCGGAGGCCACGACTGCCGTCTGGATGGGGATCGGGATGGAGAGCCTCGCGAAGCCCTGATGCACCAAGGCGGCCACGTACCTCACCTGCTGTATGACCTGCTTTCTTGCTCCTTCGATCTGCAGGGCCAGGTCGTCCAGGTACTGCTGGATCACCACGTAGATGTAGTTCATGTGCGCTGCCTCCAGGATGCCGTAGAGGAGCGGCCTCCTGAGGTCCACGGCCTGGCCACAACCTGCTACCATGATGTTGGCCGGCTCGAAGATGTCGGAGAAGAGGCTGTGGGCCATAATGGCCCCCGGCGCCAGGTACATCTGTGCTGCCATGGCCTGGGGCAGAAGAGGGTAGTTGAGGTCGCTGGCCTTCTCGATCAGCTGGTCGAGGCCGACGTTGTCATAGAAGTTGGCTGCATCGTAGAAGATGCCTGCTGCATGGGAGCCCATTTGCACTGCCGCCTCTGCCCTCATCAGCCTGTGCATCGCCAGTCTGAGCGCTGAGGAGCCTGCCACTGCCGTGTCCCAGAAGCCTGCTGCCTCCTTGCTCCAGGTGGCGATGATGGGCCGTCTGGCCGCACTCCAGATGCGGTAGGGCATGGGCATAAGGCCAATGGGTCGCTCTCCTCCTATGCCTGGCTTTTTGCCCAGCAGCAGCTCCAGCACCAAGTAGAACTGCCATGGCCACGCCGCTCGCTTCTCGCAGTTGTGGAGGCACTGCACGAAATCCATGAGCCCCTGGGCGCCCATGGCCTTTAGTTCTGGCGCTCTCCACCAATCAGCTCCCTGGCCCGCGTTGCGCTTCAGGTGCTGGATGATGGGGCCGACGATGTCCTTGCTGAGTGGCTCGAGCGCATTCTCTTGCACTAACGCTGCCGTCCTCAGCTTGCCCAGCGCGCCCTGGATCTGGTCTGCCTTGTGCACATCACGCGTCCATCTTCGCTGCCACGCGCCCTTGCGCAGGTCCACCAGCTGCTGCGGGTGCGAGACCACCTGGCCCTCGTGCTCTAGGATGTCCTCGATGTGGCTGCGCTCCGGTGCCTTGGTGTAGGCGTGGGCCATCTTGGCGCTGCCTGCCGTGGCGTCGTGCACCCAGTGGATGTACGCTCTCTTCACCGCCTTGGTGAGGTTATTGGCTGCGCTCCTGACTTCTTCAGCGACCTGGTGGCAAGTGGCTGGGTCCACCAGGGCTCCCCCGGCGATCCTGCCAAGCGTCGCCAGGAGGTTATGCTGACGCTCCTTGGCCTCGCCCTCTTCGTTGTACCTGCCGCAGTCTGGTTGTTGGAGCTGGCATGCGAGCTGTCGACGCGTGTGGGCCTGCTGCAGCGTGCGGTGACCGCTCTGGTTGCGGAGCTGCTGCGGTGGCCGACTCCTCTGTCCTCTGCCTGCTGCAGGGGGCTCTTCATGTGGTCGTCGTGCTGCTCCTCCTGGTTATGCTGCTGGCTGGCGGTCTTCTCTGGGTCTTGGCGCTCTTGCGCCTAGCGCCTCCCTCATCATCTGCCTCAGCGCTGCGAGCTCCCGCCAATGCATCATCTCCAGTCCGTATCTCCTCATAGGCTCCTGCTCTGCTAGGCCTGTGAGGAATCCTTGACGGCATGGGGCTGCCTGCCGCCGCGCTCGCTCGCAGAGGTCCCTGAGGATATCGCCGAAGCTGGCGCGGGGTCGCCAGCGCCTGAGGAGCCGCTCCAGGCCGATGTTGCCGCCGTTTGCGAAGACCTCCTCCAGGAAGGGCGGGCACCATTCCATCCAGTCGGTGTTGTCCACTGGTGCCTGGCTTAGGCCGTCCGTCCAGATTGCGGCCCACCTCTCCAGGTCAACTCTCATGCTCACAAATTCTTCGCGTTCCCTCTGGTGACGTTCATCATTCCAGAGGTCTGGCGGGGGAAGGCCCATGTCGCTTGGCTGTTCTTTCTGATCCCCTTGGTGGTCGGTACCCTCTGCTCCCGGATCGCCACCTGGCTGCGGGGGTGAGCTGTGCGTGCCACCTGGGGCAGTATTTCCTGATCCTCCAGCGTGGCGACGAGTGCCCTGGTGGCCCTTGATGCTCTCCTGCTGGTCTAGGATCTGCTGGTGGTAGTCCTCGCCGTCCTGCTTGTCTGAGGTTTGCTGGGGGCCTTCACCGTTGTCCCCTTCGGCGTTCTCCCCCTGCGGCTGGTTCCCGATGTTGTCCCGGTTGTCTAGGATCCGCTGGCGGTTATCATCGCCGTCCTGCTTGCACTGGGGGCTCCTGCGGTCCAACCCATCACCGCGTCGGGGTGCTCCGTGGCGTAGCCCCTCGCCGCGCTGGGGCCTGCTGCGGTCTAACCCCTCACCGCGCTGGGGCCCTCCGTGGCCTAACCCCTCGCCACGCGGGGGCCTGCTGCGGTCTAACCCCTCACCGCGCTGGGGCCCACCGTGGCCTAACCCCTCGCCACGCTGGGGGCAGGGGCGGTCTAACCCCTCACCGCTCCGGGAAACTCCTTGGCCTGGCCCCTCGCCGCGCTGGGGGCTCCTGCGGTCTAACCCCTCTCCGCGCCGGGATGGTCCGTGGCCTAACCCCTCGCCGCGCAGGGGCCTGCTGCGGCCTAACCCCTCACCGCGCTGGGGCCCTCCGTGGCCTAGCCCCTCGCCGCGCGGGGGCCTGCTGCGGTCTAACTCCTCGCCGCGCTGGGGTCCTCTGTGGCCTAACCCCTCGCCGCGCAGGGGCCTGCTGCTGTCTGACCCCTCACCGCGCTGGGTTCCGCCGTGACCTAACCCCTCGCCACGCTGGGGATCTTTGCGGTCTAACCCCACACTGCGCTGGGGTACTCCGTGGCCTAACCCCTCGCCACGCTGGGGTCCTCCGCGGTCTGCCTTGTGGTGCCCGATGCTGTCCTGGTCATCTGGGATCTGCTGGTGGTTATGCTCATGGTCCTGCTTGCCTGCGGGCTGCTGGTCGCTGTCCTCCCAGTTTCCCTCGCCCTGGAAAGGGTCATGGTCATCCATGTCCATGGTGCTCCGTCCTGCTGGTGGGGGACGGGCGCCCCTCTGCATCCCGTCGGTGCCTATATTTGGTCTGCTTTGGGGCTGGCCCGTGGTTCTGGTGTTGATATTGCCTCCGCCATCTCCTGTTCGCACTGCCTGTTGCTGCTGGCTCTGCACCTGGCCTTTCACCGCAGCCCCCAGCGCACGTGCGTCATGATGCGAAAGTTGGCGAACGAGCGAGGCAACCTCCGACCACCAGGCGTGGATCTTGCGCTCCACTCCGGCCCATGGGATGGCTGAGACCGTGTCCTTGATGCTGGCGCTCTTGAACGTCGGGGGGGCGGCCATGGCCTATGTGCTTGCCGCGCTCGTCCGCTGGGATGCCGATGGTCTCGCACAGGCTGAGCTCCAGGGTACCCGCGAAGAGGTCGTACTGCTGCCCCAACTCCAGCACGTCCTGCTCCATGAGCTTGCTGGCGACGGTGCCTTGCAGGTGTGGCGGGAGTTCCTCTCGCACCGTCACTCTTACCTGCTCGGCTGCAGCGTGCCAAAGCTCATCTGTGACCACGTGCTGGACCTCCTTGTCGTAGAACAACTGGGGCACGGGCTCAATGCCATGTTCGGCCTCCTCGCACCCTGCTTCTGCGAGGGCTTGGTGTCTCCTCATGGCCTCTTGCCCTCCTCTGGCAGCGCGGCGGCAGGCCGCCCGCGACTTGGGCATCCTCTCGGTGATTACTGGCGGCTTGATGGCTGCTGGGCGGCGTAGTACTCTTCCTTTGAGCTGAAGCGGTCTCCCTTTCAGCTTGAGGCGAACACCTATGTGGGGCCGCCACGGTACCTTTCTTAACAACTCCACGCCATCGAAGTAGGGGGCTAGGCCCTGCGAGACCAGCGCGTAGTCTTGGCAGCGCGCCGTGCCCTCTGCTGGAAAGCACATTGGCGCTCCTCCTTCTGCATCCACCACTTGCGCATCCAGCACCCTGGGCCAAATGCTGCCATTGAGTTCCGACGGCGTCATATTGAAATCACCAATCGCTGCCCATGGGCCTCCCCGGACTGCCATCTTCTCTCTCAGGTCGCAGAGGATGTCCACATTCCTGTCGCCGAGGCCCTCGCCGCGCTCCAGGTAGAGGAAGGCTACCGCGAAGCGTACTTGGCGAAGGTGGGCGATCACGACCGTGATGTCGCTGCCCTCCTCGTTAAGGTAGTTGTCCTTAAAGCCTGCGAGCCTGTCCTGTGCGTCGAGCGAGCCTCTGGCGATGGCGCATGTGCCTCCTCGTGTGCCTTCCCCTTCTCCTGGCCGTGCTCTAGTCCAGTAGCTGCGCAGGCCATGCCGTCGCAGCGCAGCTCGCGCCTTGCTGATCTGCAATGGCTGGCGGAGGTGGTGCTCCGCTATGCCGATGGTGCCCCTGTCCCTGGTGCTGCTGATCTCCTTGAGGTAGTCCTGGGTCTGCGGGCCCCAGGTCGTGATGTTGAAGAAGTCCACATTGAACTGGCGGCGAGCCTTCTTCGTGCCCGCCTGCAGCCGACTACCCCGACGGGGCTTCTCCTGTCCCTTCCACAACCACCTCGTCCGCTCTCTTAGCCTGCGCAACCTCTTCTCGTGCTTGCTGGATGTGTGTGTCCACTCGGGCGCGTCGAACTGCTGCTTTATCTGCTCCCACTTTGGCTTCTTCGGCTGTGTCAGCTTCAGCGGCGCCGGTAGGCGTAGCCACTGTGGCTGCCCCTGAGCTGCGGCTTCTCCAGGCTGGCCACGCTGTGGCGTGGGGATGACACATATTTTCTTGCCAGGGGAAGCCCTTTGTTCTTCGTCACCTCCTGGCTCCTGTGCTTCTGTCTGGCGCTTTGTGCGCGCTGGCTCGAGGAGGCGCAGCTGCTCCTGGTGCTTGGCAGTCTCCTCCTCCAAGTACCGCAGGTGACTTTCTGCGACATCGCCTCGCCCTTTGCCTTTGCTGCTCGCCAGGCTTCTGTGTCAGGTTCTGCCCACTTGTGGAAGTCGTCTGGCTCTTTCTCGAAATGCTCCAGGAGGGATGCCAGTGCCGTCTTCTCTGCTCCAACATGTACTGCTGCTGGCACTTCGGGCTTTCCGACCTGTGCCTTGAGCGTGTCGAACTCTTCCTCCGCGGCGATGGATGCTGCCATGGCGTCATGAAGCTTGCGTTCGCTCTCCACCAGGTACTGCTTGGCGCTTTCCACCTGCTTTCCTGCTGCTCGCGCATTTTTTTCTGGAGCTTGTCCAGCCTTCTGGCGGCGGCTTCCACTGCCTTGAGACCGACTGGTTCTGCGGTGATCGGTTTTGCCGCGGCCAGGTCTGGCCAGAGCGCCTCGTAGTGGGCCCTGAGCGGGTCATCCTTTCTGAGCTTGTTGTAGGCTGCGGCTGCGGCGGCCTGGGGGCTGACCATTTGGTCACGCTGACCTGCTTTGTCGCCACCTCCTGCGCTGCCTCCTGGCTGCCAGCCATCAGCCCATGTGAGCCTTGGCGTTCCTCCTCCCTGTGGCTTGGCAGCCAGCGCTCCTCCTTCGTCGCCCTTGTAGACGTGGCCCTCGGGCACGAGGCTGCCGAGGCTGCTGCCGCAGATGCAGAGGTCGCCCTTGCTGGTGATGTTCCTGCAGTAGCGCCACCTGCCGCAGCCACGCACAACATAGCTGCTGCGCGAAGGACGGCTCCCACTGCTGCCGCTCCTCCACGGGGGCCGCCTCTGGCCATGCGGACTCCCCGTCCAGGCGCTGCCCGCCCCGCGTCCACTGCCGCCGCGCCCCGTGGCTGCTGCGGTGCCGCGCGCGCGCCCGACGCCCGTCGGGGGTCTGTCCTCGGTCCAGAGGGCCCCCTTCGGCCTGGAGGCTGGACAGCCCCCCAGGTCATCATATTGAGCCAAAGTGGCTACGGGAAGGATGAGGAGGAGGAGGAGGAGGAGGAGGAGGAGGAGGAGGAGGAGGAGGAGGAGGAGGAGGAGGAGGCGGAATAGGAGGAAGAGAAGGAGGAGAAGGAGGAGAACGCGGGGACCGTCTCTTCAAAACGAGGACCCAACACTACAGGATGGTTGGGGGAAAAAAAAACGAATCCCACAATTCTGTTTGTTCCCAACCATCCTGTGGTGTTGGGTCCATGTTTTCAGCGCCCCGCGTCCCACCGATTCTCCCTCCTCCTCCCCCTCCTCCCCCTCCTCCCTCCTCCCCCTCATTGCCTCTGCTCTCGGCACACCTCTCACACGCTTCGTAGCCCCATAGGGAGCTCCACCAAAGGCCCCAGTGGTTGCTCTCGCATGCGGTTCCCCCACCCACGGCAGCGTTTCGTGGCCCCACATGGGAGCTCCACCGAAGGCCCGAATGGTTGCTCTCGCACGCGGTTCCCCCACCCAGGGCAGCGTTTCGTGGCCCCATAGGGAGCTCCACCGAAGGCCCCAGCGGCTGCTCTCGCATGCGGTTCCCCCACCCAGGGCAACGCTTCGTGGCCCCATATGGAGCTCCACCGAAGGCCCCAATGGCTGCTTTCGCATGCGCCTCCCCCACCACCGAAGGCCCAATTGGCTGCTCTCGCATGCGGCTTCCCCCGCCCAGGGCAACGCTTCGTGGCCCCATAGGGAGCTCCACCGAAGGCCCCAGTGGTTGTTCTCGCTTGCGGTCCCCCCCCGCCCAGGGCAGGGTTCCGCTGCCCCTTAGGGATCTCCACCGAAGGCCCCAGTGGCGCAGCTCGCATGCGGTTCCCCCACCCAGGGCAGCGCTTCGTGGGCCCATAGGGAGCTCCACCGAAGGCCCCAGTGGCGCAATTCGCGTGCAGGTCCCGTGCCCAGGGTAGCGCTTCGTGGCCCCATAGGGTGTTCCACCGAAGGCCCCAGTGGCGCAGTTCGCATGCGGTTCCCCCGCCCAGGGCAGCGCTTCGTGGCCCCATGGGGAGCTCCACCGAAGGCCCCACTAGCGCAGTTCGCATGCGGTTCCCCCAGCCAGGGCAGCGATTCGTGGCCCCGTAGGGAGCTCCACCGAAGGCCCCAGTGGCGCAGTTCGCATGCGGTTCCCCCACCCAGGGCAGCGCTTCGTGGCCCCATAGGAACTTCCACCGAAGGCCCCAGTGGCGCAGTTCGCATGCGGTTCCCCCACCCAGGGCAGCGTCTCGTGGCCCCATAGGGAGCTCCACCGAAGGGCCGCCCCAGTGGCGCAGTTCGCATGCGGTTCCCCCACCCAAAGCAGAGCTTCGTGGCCCCACAGGGAGCCCCACCGAAAGCGGCACCCACAACGGGCTACAAACAATTGCTTATGGTTGGGTCCCTCGCCAGGATAATTTGTCCCAACCATCCTGTGGTGTTGGGTCCTCGTTTTGGGAAGACAGCGCCCCGCGTCCCACCTTCCTCTTCCTTCCTCCTCCTTCCTCCTTCCTCCTTCCTCCTTCCTCCTTCCTCCTTCCTCCTTCCTCCTTCCTCCTTTCCTCCTTCCTCCTCCTCCTCCTTCCTCCTTCCTCCTTCCTTCCTCCTCCTCCTTCCTCCTCCTCCTCCTCCTCCTCCTCCTCCTCCTCCTCCTCCTCCTCCTCCTCCTCCTCCTCCTCCTCCTCCTCCTCCTCCTCCTCCTCCTCCTCCTCCTCCTCCTCCTCCTCCTCCCCTCCTTCTCCCATTCCTCCCTCCTCCCCCTGTTCCTTGCGTTTCACCCACCCAGGGCAGCGTTTCGTGGCCCCATATGGGAGCTCCACCGAAGGCCCGAATGGTTGCTCTCGCACGCGGTTCCCCCACCCAGGGCAGCGTTTCGTGGCCCCATAGGGAGCTCCACCGAAGGCCCCAGTGGCTGCTCTCGCATGCGGTTCCCCCGCCCAGGGCAACGTTTCGTGGCCCCAAATGTGTATGTGTGTATATCTATATCTTATATATTTATATTTATATATATACATACATACATACACATATGTACACGTGTGCATGTACAAATGTGTATGTATGTATGTATGTATGTATGTATGTATGTATGTATGTGTGTATGTATGTTTGTATGCATGTATATATATATATATGTATGCACATACACGTGTATATGTTTGATAGAGCGTGATCCACCGCCGCTTTACTTTGGAAAATTACCCCCCCTCTTCCTCCAGAGCCTGGGATCCCCCCACCCCTCCGAAAATCCCCCCCCCCCTCCCCCTCCCCGCCCCCCCCCCCCCTCCCCCCTCCGGTCCGGTCCCCTCCCCCTCCCTCACCGCCAGCAAACGACCCCCGGTCCCTACCACCGTCCGCACCACATCCCCCACTGTTGTTCCCAGCGCCACTGTCCTCACCACCGCTGTCCCCACTGGTTTCACCATCGTCCCTACTGTCCCCACCAGGGCCCCCACCACTGTCGCACTGTCCCCACTGTCCCCACCACTGTTCCCACCACGGTTCCACTCTCCCCACTTTCTCCACGGCCCCAACCGTTGCCCGACTATCCCCACTGTCCCCACTGTCCCACTGACTCCTCCGCTGTCCCACTGAGCTGTCCCACTGTTCCCACCACTGTCCCCACTGTCCCCACCACTGTCCCCACTGCGCCTCAGTCCCATTGTCCCACCACCGCCGTCCTCTCCTCCGCCTTCACCACTGTCCCCACCACCACTTTACCCTCCACTGTCCCACTGTTTCCACCACATTCCCACTGTCCCCACACCACTGTCGCCACCACCACCGTCCCCACCACTGTCCCACCGTCCCCTCTGTTCCCACCATTGTCCTCACCACTGTCCCCACCACTACCCTCCCCACCACTGTCCCCACCACCACCGTCCCCACCACTGTCCGCACCCCCCCCCCGGTTTTCGAGGGGGGGGGTTCGAACCGGTAGTGACCCCCCCCCCTTTCATGATGGACTGGGGGGGGGGGAGGGGTTCGAACCGGTAGTGACCCCCCCCGGTTTACCGGAGGGGGGTGGGGGGGGGATCGAACCGGTAGTGACATCCCCCCGGTTTTCCGCCAGCAGCGGTAAAACACGCTCTTTCATATATGTGTATGTACACCGTCGTGTATCCATCAGTCACCTATACACACATCATTTCCAGTGGAACAGCACGTCTGGTTCCCGCCCCCCGGGGCTCCCGCTCGGCCTCGTCCGTGCCCTCCCGCATTGGCAAGTACGTCTCCGTGCCCCGCGCCTCGGGCCGCCCAGTTGGCCGCGCCCGCGCTCGCGCGGCCGCCGCCCAGAGGGGGAACCGTCGCGCCAAGGGAGCGCGATGCTCCTTCTTGGGGGGGAGGGGGGGGCGGCCGCCTCGCCGCCGCCGGCCGCTGAGCGCGCGCGCCTGCCCTCCCGCCGGCCCTTCCAGGAGGGGGCGGGGGAGGCTTCCACGGACTCATGCCGAAAGCTTGTAGACAGCCCCAAAGCCCGAAATGGGCTCCCATGAAGCCCAACCTTGTAACCACACACACACACACTCACACACACACACACACTCTTCGGACCTCGAACTTCGATCCTGGAACCTCCATCGCGGGTTCGACCACAGTCCAATCTAAGTCTGTGCCCGAACTCTCCAAGGGCACATCCTGGCCCGTTTTGGGCATGCGCCCACCGGTGGCAACGAAAACCTCTAAAGCCTGCGAAACAACCTGGTCAGGACGAAGACGTCGACGACGACGTCGTCCTACCCCGACCCCCCATAACGACTCCGACGACCTCGAGGGGCGCACCCGCGCGGAAGTGCCCATGGTGCACAGCCGGACCTGGGCCGGGCGGCCTGCCGCCCCGCCGCTCTCTCTCTCTCTCTCTCTATCTCTCTCCCTCTATTTCGGGGGGTGCTGGAAGTGTGGCTGGTACCGGGGTGTCCTCAACTTGTCGCACCAAATCGGAGCCCCCAAGGACCTGTGGGCCTTATGAGGGTGAGGGGTGCTCCGAGACTGCAGAGGCCTCCCTGTTTGGAAATCCTGGGGACAACACAAACCTCCAGAGACATCCGGGGAGGCTAAGAGGGGGAGGCATAGAGGAGGGATGGGGTGGATGAGCGAGGGTGTTGATGATCCAGCGGCTGATGATAATGCGGGGTGGGCAGGAGGGAGACAGGAGAGAGGGAGCGGAACAGCTAAGTGTGCTCGCGGCATATCTGACACATTGCGTTCATGTCGTTCTTTATCCGCGGACGTGTGTCATAGTTGACCTGGAATTTTCCAAAAAGTCCTCATCGTCTCATGCACAATCGGAAAAGGGGGGCTGCATACATAGGAGGAGGAGGAGGCGGAGGAGAAGGTGGCGGGTGAGCAGGAGGACAAGCAGGAGGAAAAGGAGGAGGAAGAAGGAATACTGCGGACGAACGACAGCAGCAGAAATTGGAGTGGAATGAGTGGGGGGAGCAGGAGGACCAAGGGAAGGCGGAACATGGGAAAGGATGAGACCGACGCCACTGAAAAAAGGACTCGGATCCAGAAAAGTGGCCCGCGCTATGACGAGAGCGCCAGTGTGACCGACGGGAGCACAGCACCGATCCGACAATGAGGCCCACGTTTCAGACAACACATCATGTTTATACAGAAACAAAAGATTTGCAACAGCCTATAAGAAAACGAAACAACTATTGCAGTCCTGTGTGGACCAGCGCCGTGCACGGAGGGGGCCGAATACCTTCTGGAAAAAGTAAAGGGAGAGTCTGGGCGATGAGTCGCCTGCTCCTCCGCCTCACCCTCCATCTACTCATCACCGTCCCATTCCTCATTGTACTCGCCTCCCTGAGGGGCGGGCTCCTATCATCCGACTGTTTCGTCGTCCTCAACATCCTTCACTGTTTTTCACCTCCTCCGCGTCCGCAACCTGCTGGCCATCATCAGCAGCATCGCCCACTATGTATATGTCTCTGTCTCTCGCCCCTTCAACCTCTCGCTCTGCGTTATATCTCTCTCTCTCGTTATTAACGTGTACATACGTATTTATACATACACATAAAAAAATGGTTGCCCCCCCCCAAAAAAAAATACCTTTTTATCTTGAATCGGATTCACGGCCATCATCTTCTTACTCATCATTACCAATTATTTTCCGTCCCTCCCCTTCTCCAAACACAATTCCTCCTCCTCCTCGCCCATCACCCTCCTCCTCATTATCCTTTCCGTTCCCTCCCCTTTGTAGTAACACAGAAACGAGAATACACAGTTTTCGGCGCCCTCGATGCAAGGAAACGCGGTGTATGTTTGGTTTTAGTTTCTGTTTGTTGTCTAGGATGCAGGGCCACACTGTGTTTTTGGTTACTTTGTTTTTTGGGCTGTGGAAGCTCAAGTGCTCCCCGAGGCCTCCTCCCAGCACCTCCTCCTTTCCTGTCCTCCTCCTTGTTGCAAAACAAGAAAACCAACCATACACAGTGTTTGGCGCCCTCGATGCAAGGAAACGATGTGTATGTGTGTTTGTTTCTGGTTGTGGATGCAAGGAATCATTGTGTGTGTTTGTTTTTGTCCCTACCTAGGCTCTGCCTAGAAGGGTTCTTACTCTCTAGCTTAAAGGGGCCGGGCAGTGCTACACGCCCCAGGCGGTTCCCCCAGTCCCCGCCCCGCGGTTCCCCCAGTCCCCTGGGAGCTTTAGCCTTAGCTTTAGCTTTAGCTTAGCTTTAGCTTTAGCTTTAGCTTTAGCTTAGCTTTAGCTTAGCTTTAGCCTTAGCTTTAGCTTTAGCTTAGCTTTAGCTTTAGCTTTAGCTTTAGCTTAGCTTTAGCTTAGCTTTAGCTTAGCTTTAGCTTAGCTTCAGCTTAATGTTAGCTTAGCTTTAGCTTAGCTTTAGCTTAGCTTTAGCTTAGCTTTAGCTTAGCTTCAGCTTAATGTTAGCTTAGCTTTAGCTTAGCTTCAGCTTAGCTTCAGCTTTAGCTTTCGCTTAGCTTTCGCTTAGCTTTAGCGTAGCTTTAGCTTACCTGTAGCTTAGCTTTATATTAGCTTTAGCTTAGCTTCAGCTTAGCGTTAGCTTAGCTTTAGCTTAGCTTTAGCTTAGCTTTAGCTTAGCTTCAGCTTAGCTTCAGCTTAACTTCAGTTTAGCTTCAGCTTAGCGTTAGCTTTTGCTTTAGCTTAGCTTTAGCTTAGCTTTAGCTTAGCTTCAGCTTAGTATTAGCTTAACTTTAGCTTAGTGTTAGCTTAGCTTTAGCTTAGCGTTAGCTTAGCTTTCGCTTAGCTTTCGCTTAGCTTTCGCTTAGCTTTAGCTTAGCTTTAGCTTAGATTTAGCTTAGCTTTAGCTTAGCTTCAGCGTAGCTTCAACTTAGCTTCAGCTTAGCTTCAGCTTAGCTGTAACCCAGCTTTAGCTTAGCTGTAGCTTGGCTTTAGCTTAGCTTTAGCTCAGCTTCAGCTTAGCGTTAGCTTAGCTTTAGCTTAGCTTCAGCTTAGTGTCAGCTTAGCTTTAGCTTAGTGTTAGCTTAGCTTTAGCTTAGCTTTAGCTTAGCTCTAGCTTAGATTTAGCTTAGCTTCAGCTTAGCTTCAGCTTAGCTTTAGCTTAGCTTTAGCTTAGCTTTAGCTTAGATTTAGCTTAGCTTTCGCTTAGCTTCAGCTTAGTTTCAGTTTAGCTTCAGCTTAGCTTCAGCTTAGCTTTAGCTTAGCTTTAGCTTAGTGTTAGCTTAGCCTTAGTTTAGCTTTAGCTTAGCTTCAGCTTAGCTTTAGCTCAGTGTTAGCTTAGCTTTAGCTTAGCTTTAGCTTAGCTTTACTGTTACTACTAATGCTGCTTTCCTAGGGGCTCCAACTCCTAGGTAGGGTCGCACTGGGATAATTGGTTTTGGAAGCTCAGGTGCTTCCCGCGGCCTCCTCCCAGTAACTCCTCCTTTCCTTTCCTCCTCCTTGTTGCACAGCAGAACAACCAAACCTACACAGTGTTTGGCGCCCATCGATGCAAGGAAATGTTGTGTGCTTGTGTTTTCTGGCTTAGGATGCAAGGAAACATTGTGTATGTCTGTTGCAGCTAAGCTAAGCTGAAGCTAAGTTGCAGCTAAGCTAAAGCTAAGCTAAAGCTAAAGCTAAAGCTAGAGCTAAAGCTACAGCTAAAGCTCCCAGGGGACTGGGGGAACCGCTCCCAGGGGACTGGGGGAACCGCCCGGGGCGAGTTGCACTGCCCGGCCCCTTTTAAGAAAAAGGGTAAGAACCCTCTCGGCAGAGCCTAGGTAGGGGAAAAAAACCAAACGTACATCATGTTTCCTTGCATCCTAAACCCAAACAACAAGAGCAAAACACAAACACACAGCGTTTCCTTGCATTGAGTGCGCCAAGCACTGTGAATTTTCCCCACATCCAGAGTGGGGTTCTTGTTTTCTCTGCACACCCCGCGCAGGAACACTAACCCCACCCCCTCTCCTCGTGTGCCTTCGCACATTCACTCACTCACTCGTCATCATCACCACTCACTCACACTCACACTCACTCACACTCTGTCATCATCAACATCAGCATCAACACTCGCGCTCTCTCACACGCTCAGTCACTCACATACTCATCATCATCATCATCATCATCATCATCATCATCATCATCATCATCATCACTCGCACTCTGTCACACGCTCACTCATTCACATACTCACCTGGAGGAAGTCTCAGGCGGGAGTTCGTCTGTGAGTGAATTGTGAGGAAGTCTCAGGCGGGAGCCCCCTCCCTATGGGGCCCGCAGATCATGTTGGTAATCCGAGCGGGTCATCCAAACCTTGTAACTGTCCTCACTTTTGGGCTCCTCAAGCTTGAATACGGAGGAAATCTCAGGCGGGAGCCTCGTTTGTGAGTGAATTGCGAGGAAGTCACAAGCGGGAACCCCTCCCTATGGGGCCCGCGCTTCATGTTGGTAATCCGAGCGGGTCATCCAAACCTTGTAACTGTCGTCACTTTTGGGCTCTTCAGGCCTGAATTTGGAGGAAGTCTCAGGCGGGAACCTGGGCCCGCAGATCATGTTGGTAATCCGAGCGGGTCATCCAAACCCTGTAACTGTCGTCACTTTTGGGCTCCTCAAGCTTGAGTACGGAGGAAGTCTCAGGCGGGAGCCTCGGTTGTGAGTGAATTGCGAGGAAGTCACAGGCGGGAGCCCCTCCCTATGGGGCCCGCGCTTCATGTTGGTAATCCGAGCGGGTCATCCAAACCCTGTAACTGTCGTCACTTTTGGGCTCTTCAGGCCTGAATTTGGAAGAATTCAGGCGGGAGCCTCGTCTGTGAATGAATTATGAGGAAGTCTCAGGCGGGAGCCCCCTCCCTATGGGGCCCGCAGATCACGTTGGTAATCCGAGCGGGTCATCCAAACCCTGTAACTGTCGTCACTTTTGGGCTCTCGCGCTGCCAGAACGCCATTCCCGGGCCACATTGTGCATGCCCGGAGCCAACTCTATGCCACTTCGTGTTCTTCGTGTTCCCAGAACACCATTCCCGGGCCACACTTTGAAACCCCGGAGCAAACTGTAGGCCACTTCGTGTTCTTCCTGTTCCCAGAACGCCGTGGGAACAGGAAGAACACGCACGGTCGTTGCGGGCTCAGACAAGGGCGGCTCGGGGAAGACGCACGTGGTGCAGAAAATCGTCTTCCCAGTGGTGGAGTACATGTGGCCCTCGCCGGCGCCGGACAGGGCCAGCATGATGGTCGTTGCCTTCTCGAACGCGCAGGCGAAGAACATCTCCACGGAGACTGTCAAAGCCAGAGCGCTGCACAATGCCTGCGCCATGCGAGTCCAAAAATACATCAACGCGAAGCTGCGGCCGGGGGGCATGCAGAAGAGGCTGAAGTGGTTGTGGGAGCACGT